CGTTTATGGGGTACCGGGGTATGGCAATAAGGCCCATGGCAGAGAAACTGAGTGCAGGCCAGTACAGTAGCACAATAGAGGTGAGGTCCAGAACTTGTAAAACTGTTGACCTTGCAAACAGTTCTCAACTGAGTCCTTGCTCTAGGTACAAGGGGCAGTTCTTTCATACTCAGCTTGTGTTAACTGCATGGTCCCAGCACATGTTTATTGCAGCATTATTTACAATCACTAGGACATGGAATCAACCCAATGTCCAAAAACAGACAAGTGAATTGAAAACATGTGGCATATGTACTCTATGGAATGTATCAGCCATAAAAGACAATGAACGGTAAAAGACAATGAAACTCTGACATTTGATACAAAGTGGACAAATATGGAAGACTTAAAATGCTAAGTGAAGCAAGCTAGAGTCTGAGACAGACTTTGTATCTTCCCAATCAATATATACTGAATATCTGCACTCTATAGTAGAAACTGAAAATTTAGAAGGTACAGTAGCAGGGAGGTAATTGTAAATACTAGAGATAGTAAGGATGGAGTAACATGGGATAGATAATAGAGGGAGGGAGAGGGGAACAGGGGGAAAATAAGTTTAATTGACACAAAAATGTGAAGTTATTTGATGATGATAGTGTATATGGTAATGTCTTTGTCTTGACTGATACGCAATTTATTCATGCTAGAAAAAGCAATGTTGTACAGTGTAAAGATACATAGTGATTAAATGTAAATTAATATAATACTGTTTAAAAAACTCGGTATTCACTGGCTGTCCATTCATACTTAGGAATGAAGTAGTGAAAACACTGATGTGAAGTTCTATGTATAGAGAAAGATTTGCTAATGAGGGGCTATTCTGTGTGGTACCTGGGACCCAGTACCTGTATCTCTTACCTTTCAATGAAGTTTTCTAGATAGGAATTTCTCTATCTTTTGCCTAAAATATGTAAGCTCTAGGCTGACAGCTTTCTGCAAGGAAGATAGCTTTGTTAATGGTATATTGTTTATAGACGAATATGGTTATCTGCTTTTCACTGCAGTTTGACATTCTTTTATTAAACTGGTTCTAGTTGCCCAAGAATTCACTTCTTTTATTCAAACTCCAGTCTTCTATGGGAGGGGAGTACATATGGCTGTTAGATATCATCTCCTTGTTGGAGTAGAGTGAAGGCTCAGTAGAGTCTAAGTATTTCAATTAAGCTTTTTGGTTTCACCTTTATTTTTTTCTTTCCTTTCTTTTCTTGTCTTGTTTGGTCTTTTCTTTTCTTCCCTTTTCTTTTCTCTTTTCTTTTTCCTTTCCTTCTCTTTTTTTCTTTTTTTTAAATTGCCAGAAGACCTGTGCTCACATCAGAGAGAAACAGAACTGGAGAGAGCACCCACTCAACATGTGGTGTGGTTACCCCACAATCTATTCTCTTCTTTTTTTCTATCCTGTCAAGATTTGGAAAACATACACACATATGCCTGATGTGTTTCATAAGCTGGCAGGGCCAAGATTTGAACTATGTAGTCTTCTATGTAGGAACTGGTTTCTTTAATTACCAGTTCATAAGGCAGGTCCTTGTTTCATCCTTTAACCTGACTCAGAAATACGTGATTCCTCCAATTCTCAAGTACTTAAAAATTCAGTAGCATAAAAACAACGTACTTTCTTCCTTGTAGCTCTCAGTTATTTACTAAAAATTTATGTCCATTTAACTTTCTACTTTCTGGAAGTATCTGACGCTTTACTGTCATTTTCATTTGGTTTCTGGAGAAAGCAGATTAACTTATGTGTTTGATAGAACAGTTAGTACCAGTTACTAAGAATTTTTTCCCTTCAACATATCAAGATAAGGAAAATACATAGAACTTGGTAACCAGAGAACTTTGTATATTTAGAGCTTACATAAGAATATCTCCATATTTTCTGTCAAAATTTGTTTTAAAATGATCTATTTTAATTGGATAATTATGTTCGTAAATTGGTATTATCTAAATCAGTGTGATTTAGTGATTTTTATTAGTGCTCCGTAGTTATCACTGTAAATACCTGGCCAAGATAAAGCACAGGTTGTATATTTTAAATGTATATTATCGTTTATATCTTTCAATGCAAAGCTGAATTTTGCTACAATTTCTAATTATAGGATCAATAGCAACTATAAAACAATACTCGACACTGTATAAATATTTTCTACATGTCCTCGAATTTGTATTTTTAAAAATTGTTCTTATATGCTTACCACATTATTTTCTCATAACTTTTCTTTTTTATCTTAATTTAAGAAAACTATTCTCATTATTCTTAATATTTCATACGAACTTACCATTGTCTTTAATGCTTGTTTCTGTTTCTCTCCTCCCACCTACCCCAAAGGTCACCATTATTACAAGCAGCAAATTCTTTAAAATATTTAGAATATAGTCACATAGTTTGGAAAGTGTCCCCTCTACTCTTAACCACCCTTTTAAAAAAAAAAATTCCCCATCTTTATTCTTTCAAAATAAGTGCATCTTTTATAAGCTACAAAGATTGGCTAAAGGTAGATAATTTTTCATAACCATAATAACTGCCTTGTCTAAAACTAAGGAATAAGATATTTTATTTGCCTTAAAAAGCACTTAAAATGAAGCTATGTCAATGAATTTTTTTGAGTTTTGCTGAAATAAACTTTTTTTTTACTTTTTATATTTTTATGTTCTTCATTTTAAAGATGTATCATTTATTTCCCAATGGAACTACAACAAAAAGTAGAGTATGGAAATATGAAAACATTGATTTTATATTATCGCTATTAAGATTGTGAAGATAAATTTCATTAAAAATATTTTTTGTTTCTTATTACCAAAACAAACATCGTAAAAGATGTATCTACAGCCATGTGCACATAAATACTTTTCAAATTGATATGACAACATTGGGTTTTAGAAAAATATAAAGTATGGGTTGTGACATCAGTTGATGAGTGGGTAATTTCAACCCTTTGTATATATATATATCCTTTAACAAAAATCAGAATGCGAGAGTATATTCAAACATTGTTAAGAACCACACTTTTTATTTTAACAAAAATTGTTCAAATCTTGGCATTGGAACTGTGATTTTAATTGTTGTTTCAGTTTTCTGAGTCTCAATGTGATTGGCAGAAAAATGGGGATTTACAGCCCCAGACTATTATAAAGGTTAAACAAATTTGTGTTGAACATGGTACCTGGCACATAGTGAGCATTCAATGAATGATTGCTAATACCATTATCAAAGCAGGAAATACACTTGATCAAAACGAACAAATTATACAAATCACACACACACACACAAATGACTTTGATTTAACTCCAAAATTGTTAGTATGACCAATGTTTACACTTTGGCCAAATCAAAACAACTAGGCATTTATGTACAGAGGAGGCATCATTGAATTATTAATCTCTCTGTCTAAAATAAATAGAATTGGTAGGAGTTTGTGTAAGATGTTCTCATTTTAAAAGTTAATACAAAAGGGGGAATTTAAAATGTGTATCAACCTGGTCACTAGCGATAACTTTCTCTTTAGTATATTCAGAAGAATTTATTTGACAAATATTCTTTGATTGCCTGTTATGTGCCTGGCTGTGTTTACCTACCGTGTAAAAGGAAATACCTCCTTTTTATGCTTGAATACTTTCCTTTTCCACAGACATTTCCACTGGGCCTGGGAGATGGGCAATTCTATTCATGGACAGATGGTTTGAGAAGAAAAGACTGGCATGACTATGAAAGCATTCAGAAAGAGGCTATGCGCTCAGGTATGAAGTTCAGTGTAAGCCAAAGTGCTACTTTCCTTACTGCAGTGTCTCACTTGTCACTTAAAGGAGCTCTAATTAGTATTTCATCTACACACAGTAAAGTATATCTCATGGGGATATTGGAGGTCAATGCCGGTCAAAAGTAAACCAACTTCAAATTTAAAAATAATAATAATGAATAGTTTCTTCATTATGGGCTGCAAAAGAGATCATTAAAATTTTAGAAATCTTTAGGATATTGTATTTCCAAACTGCTTTTCAATATTTTTGGAGATATCAGGGCATTTATTAATGAGATATGATCTGGGAAATATGTATCGTAAATAAGATTCATTCATTAAGGCTGAACTGTATCTTACTGGTAACGCAAAGTATCAAAGGTGTACTACAATGTCCAGATATTGACAAGGGGGTACAGCACAGCGTTGGGTCACAAAAGCTGGAGACGGGTGTCAAGACAACCAGGCAGGTAAGTGGAATCAAGGATAGGTCTAGTCTCGGCCTACAGTCAGAGCAAGAAGTAATAGGAAAGAGTAAATTTTTCCAGAAGTCTAAAAAACTAAGTTGTGGAAATAAGATTCAGAAGTGTAAGCTGTAATCTACTAAAAGTGAGTAACACCTGATAGGAAGCCCATCTGCTAATATTTGGCTAAAAGAGCTCTGTTTTTCATAGTGAGGATGTTACAGAAATAGAGTAGCTTGTGTTTGGTGGAGACATCTGAACAGCAGAGACACAGCATTCCAGGTCAAATGAGCAGCAGAACTATGACTAGCCCTCCACGTGAGGACCTCAGAGTCAGACTTCCTCATAACTCTTCCCTTCTGGTTAAACACAGTGAGGGTGTTTAAATGATTATGAAACTGTTCAGAACTAGGAAATGTTCTTAGCTTTGTCATATATAGCTGACCTAATTGTAGTCTTCTTTAATTTTCTTCTTCCATTCCTTTTCTCCAAATAAAGCTCTCCTCCTATAACTTAATCTCCCCCACCACACACACACACAGGCAACTTCATTAAATCATCTTGTTCCAAAGATATTCCCTATTTTAAGAGAATAAATCTCTTACAGGCTGCATCATCTTGCCACTTTACCCGTCACCCCATAAATGATCATCAAAAGTCCTCTTCTCTTTTTCTTGTTTCCCTGATCACCCTTACATCAGTCCAGCCATCTGCTCATCCTTATGACCCTAGGATTTTGAAGTTTTTTGGAGATATTTACATAATCTTAGCAACTGAAGTTGCCAGTTAAAAATAAATAAATAAAATAATAAAACATTATTGAATGACTATTTTGAACCAGGCATTTTGCATATGTATTTTATTTACATCTCAGAATAACTGTGATAGGTCTGGTAAACCCCCAACTTGTAAAAAATAAATTTGCTACCTAAAAACTTACCAAATTTTATTCAAAATCAACCAGCTAGTTATTTGTAGAACTATTAATAGATTAAGAACCAGATTTTATCATGTTTGATTACACCCCACTATCTGCTACAAGTAATAGTGTTTCAACCATATGAGGTAATAATAAGAACATATATGGAAAAGAGACACACCTAGGTTTAAATTCTAACTCTTCCATACACGAGTTGAGTATGTGGCAAATCAGTTTATCTTTCTTATATTCTACCTTGCAGAGTTGCTTTAAGGATAATATGCCTAAAGTAATTGGCCAATTATTTATAAACTCAACTAATAATAACTGTAATTATTAATGCCTCTAAGTTATGTTTACATGAATTGGTATGCTTTCCTTTACTTGTACCAATGAGTTCTGCATACAAAATCCAATCCACTACTTCAAATTAATTTCTAACTCATACCACCCTCCACTTTCTTGATAAACATAGCTTTTATATTGTCATCTTTACTTGGATCAAAGAAAAATTGATCTACAAAGAAAACTGTTAACATAACAAGTTTTTAAGTACACATCCTTGATGTTATTAAAGAAGAAACTTAAATGCTAGAATGCTAGTTCACTGGAAGATATATGACAAATGCAATAGACTAGAATTCACTATTTTTATATTGTGAAACATAGCATGAATAAGTCTATTATAATATGTATGTCTGTATATGTACATTGTATGTGTATATATGCATGAATTCATATACATATACATGTACAGGTTGAAATAAAATAAAAATCTAAGTACTTCATATACAGGCCAAAAACAAAGATCTTTTGTGTTATTGTATCCTCTCCAAGCTTTTATCCTCTTACTTTTCTCTGTATTTTTTACCACCTATATATTTATTCTTTTTTTTTTTATTAACATAGCCCTTTTATACTTTATTATAAATTTTTT